TATATATATTTTTTTTACTAGTATTCTTTCATAGGGTTCCAGAACGCCTTCCAACAAGGTGAGAGTTTGTGCTGTTTCTGCCAGCCCTTTCTGGTGCCTTGCTATCTCTCCTGATCGCCTGCAGGTGACGCGGACAGCGTCAAGGTGCTTTCACGCCACGTAAGGCTGGGCGGCCGTGTAGGAGAGCGGCGCATTGCATAAATGCAACTGTGCTCTCAACCTAGAGTAACATTTTTAGAGTACGTATTTTTGGTCTCGTTTCAGGAAAAATGTAGTTGAAAGAGGCATGCTCAGTGCCAGTTAATGTAGAAAAACTGCTATTGTCTTAGGTAGCTCCAAAATCTCAATCAGAAGCTGGCCATTGTGGCTCATGCTTATTGTCTTGATACTTGGGGGCCAAGGCAGGACATTGGATGCGAGTTCAAGGCCAGCCTGGACTACACAGTTCGACCCTGTCTCAAAAAACTAAACCTAAAAAGTAACAAAACTAAAAATAAAAAAAAGTAAAACAACAGCAACCTCCTCCTCCCCTCCCCCAACCGCTGTTTGCTCTCCAGTACAGCAAAAAGAAAAAAATGAAGAAGGAAAAAAGAAATCCACCCCCCCCCCAAAAAAAACCAAACTAGACTGTGGTTATTACTATATAAAATAATATTTTCAAATGTTTAATAAAAATAGTGCCATACACAGAGTCTAAAAGTGTGTGATCTGTGAAAGTATTCACCAAGCTTTTCTACTACAACTCAACAACTTTCCGTGAGGAACCCTTACAGTGGCTGTGCTAAGAGAGTCTGAGCGTCCGCCAGCAGACAAGCTGCCCTCTGCCCCCGTCCTATCTCCTGTGCAGCCCAGAAGCACAGATCATGGCTAGAGGGGAGGAAGAGCTCCAAGCCAACCATCTGGCTTAGCCACAGTTAGAAGTAAAAATCAAAGTCAATTCATACCAGGAAATAGGAATTTTTTTTTCTGACATTGCCAGTTAAACAGAAGACCCAATGCTATTATGGGCTACTGGACTCTTTTAGAATATTTTGCTGAGTTTACACACCTATAATATTCAATAACGGAACTTTGAAAAAATGGGGTATACCGATGAATGTCCATTTTGTATCTGTGTATTCAAAGTGGTTAGGATAGATATATAGTTGCATTCTCTTAATGAATAGAATGATTTGTTCTAATGGTGTTTGTAAATAGGATCTCAAGTCCACGTCTTGTACAGCAATTAACCACTAAGAAGAATATATGCAGTGTATTATTTGTTGAAACTGTACTTCTCATTGCTATCTGTTTATCAATAAAATTTTGAAAAAAAATAAATAAAAATTAAAAAATAAAAAGAAATAGGAATTTAAAAATTCACTTATGCATAAAAATGGTACTTTTAGAATTCAAATATGGGATATGAGACTCAAGTAAATCACACCAAATCACAGTTTAGCCTTGGGAATAAAAAAGGGTTAAATAATAAAAACAACCTAAAGAGAGGCTTTAGATGAAAATAAAATGTCATACGTTTATCTCAGAAGGCAAGTGAGGTTTGAAGCAAGACTAAAAAACAATTGGTTGACTAAAAACCTCAAACAAGATTATTTAGATGAATGATTTAAAAATTCTACCTTGTTTGTTGTATAGCTATCCCAAATAATTAATTTTCCATCTTGAGAAGCACTGACCAGTAGCCTACAAGAACAAACACAAAAATAATTTGATACTTACAACTTTAAGAAATACACAGTTTAAGTTAGTTATATATTACATTAATATATGACAGTTTGGAAAACAAAACAATTTTTCTAAAAGAAAATTGATACTAAGGGCTGGCAATTAAAAAAAGAAAAAGAAAGGGTCAGTGAGATAGCTCAGCATACTAAGAGCCTGCTTTGGCAAGCATAGGGACCAGGTTTTATCCCCAACATCACATGCCTTGCCGGACCTGGCCCCGGCATGCTGAGAAGGCCACTGAGTCTGGGCGTGGTGGCACATGCCTGTAATCCCAGTGCTGGGGAGGCTGAAAACAAGAGAATCACTATGAGTTCCAGTGCATAGAGAGAACCTGTACCAAATATATTTCAAAAGAAAAAAAAAAAAAAAAAAAAAAAAAACTTGATACTAAAAATGTTCTTCCTATTAAAAAAGAAAAAAAGTATCCAGCATAGCATAAATTATAAACTCAGCGAGTCACTAAATACGTCTTTGGCTATGATTCAATCTCTCCATAGTGACAACACTGCAACTATTACTGAAGACGTTGGTAGATCTTAGCCGACTGGTTTATTATACACAGTCTGTTTACACTTAAGGCAACCGCTATGTCGGGGCCGAACACCCACACTTGGTGCAATCTAAGCAGTTCAGAGAGCCTGTGGCTGCTGCGTGGCAGTGTGACAGGCACACAAGGCAAGACTTTGCTTGTGAGGGGTCTACTGTCTAGTGGAGGGGAGACAGTCAAGATCTTCATAATAAATCAAGAGAAACTTGCCGAAGACTAGTACAAAAGAAATACTGTAGGACAGTAAAAGAGGAATGAATAACAGTTGAATTAATTTAAGACTGCATCTTGAAAAATGTACTTGGGAGAACTGAAGACAGAGAAGTCTACATTCTAGGAGTACACAGCTGACCACAAGAGGTGGGAACACACAGTGGGTGTGCAGAATGTGCCTTCCAGTTGTGCAGGGTTTGTGGGAAACGGCACATGAATTGAGAAAATTAGACTGAGATTATGCTGCAGAAAGGTTTGTTTACTAGGCTAAGGAGCATGAATTCTTAACCAATAATTAGTCAATAATATTTGTTCTGGAATTTTTCACCATGACCTAAAATTCAAAAAACAAAAGAATCTACTCCGAAAACAATCGCCTTGTTAAGCCTGCTTCCCACACTCAGCTCCTTTCCCTGTGGATAACAACACAGGTTCTTGGTGTTGGAGACGCCACTTGTTTTTACAAAAAGGAAAGGCTGGTGGTGGAATAAGGATAGAATCTAAGGGCAAAGTTTTAAGATTCAACTGTCATCATCAGCACACGAGAGTGCAGAGGAAGGAGCTGACAATGTGAGGTGGGTCCTGCACAATTCTTTTGCTTTTGAGAAAATTTTATGAAAGCACAGCAAAGAAGTAACATTGTTTCAAGCGACTGGATTTGCTGTATCAACAAGACAGATTATATTTTTTTAAAAAAATGTGGCTTTGCCCTAACTTTACATCATCAATTATATAATTTTATCTTTCTTCTAAGAGGTACATGCTCCATACTCACAGATTCAAGTATCCATTTATATCAGACAGCATTAAGTAAGGGAGGCTTCCTCTACTTAAAATCTTAGTGTCTCCTGGAAGCAGATACTAATACACGTGCAACTATTTCTTTTTTTTTAATTAATTAATTAATTAATTAATGTGTGTGTGTGTGTGTGTGTGTGTGTGGCCAGTTCAGCCCACCAGGGGGCGGGGCTGGCTGGCATGTGGTGCTGGGAAATTGAACCGCGGTCCCTGTGCTTTGCTTAGCTCGTTCTAGGTAGGTGCTTTAGACCACTGAGCCATCTCACCAGCCCCCATGTGCAACTATTTCTTTCCCAGTAGTACTGAAAGGTGACTTTTTTTTTTTTTTTTTGGATTGGACATTACCCAATAAAATTAACCAAATAAAAGCAGTAAGTCAGCCACTGCGGCAGCAGGCAGAACTGCTACTGCCAAACACACTGGGAAAAGCACAGGCTGTACTGTGATCCTAGGGACGCAGTGACTTGTGGTGCCAAAGCATCTATACTGCAAGCCAGGTGTGAGCCAGATGTGCGCACGTGCACCTGTGGGTGCTGATGTCACAGATTCTAGCGCACACATTTATGGGCTGGGCTGGGGAGCAAGGATGTATTCATTGAACATAACCTCATCTCTTATAATTCACCCTTTATAAGCCTGGGAAAGAGGGCTGGGGAGACAGCTCAGCAGCATAAGCGCCTGCTTGGCAAGTGCAAGGTCCCGAGTTTGATCCCCAATGCCACATCCTGCACCCACCCTGGAAATCCCCGGCATACTGTGGCAGCCACCAAAACCTGGTGTGGTGGTGCATGCCTGTACTCCCAGCACTAGGGAGGCTGAGACAGGAGATCACTACAAGTCTGAGCTGCGTAATGAGACCCTGTACCAAACAATAAATAGAAGATTAAAAAATAATAAAAATAAGCTTAGGAAAGAAATAGTATTCACTAACAAGCACACAGAATATGTTCAATAAATATTTGTATATTAATTGAAATTTCAAGATTAACATGATTATTCCAGTTGCTGTTGGTATATGGCAAAGCAAAGTATAACATCCCACTATAAAGAAATGAAATCCTTTCCTAAGTTGCTTTTCAGCTTCTTTGATGACAGTTTTTTTTTGAATGGTAACAGTTTTAAACTTTGAGGTAGGGTGTAGCATAGTGAAAACACTCCCCTAGCAAGCGCTGTCCACGGGCTGGAGTCGCATGTACACTCCCCTTCAAAAAAAGGGCTGGAGTCGCATGCACACTCCCCTTCCAACAAAGGGCTTCACGCTTCTTAGTGAAAGCAAAATGTTCGCGGTGGGTGCATTTTCTACAAACACATCGTGATATAGTTTGTTTTTAAATAAAGCAAAAACAATGACTCTTAAAATTGTGCTGACAGTCTGGGAACAACAGGCACGAACCTTGAGTCGTAGCCCCAATGCATCGCGTAGATTTTGGCGAGGTGGCCCCGGAGCGTACGCCTCGTCCGCATCTGTATTCGACCCACTGAGTCCATATTTGATGTCATCTTTGGGAGGCAACAAAAATATTACTCTTTACCTCAGATACAGTTTGTGAGATCCTTTCAACTAGAAACAACTGGTAAATAGGAGACTTAAATTTATAGTAACTGAATTTAATATATAATCCCACAGAATTATAAAATCAAAATATTGTACACGAAAAACAATGATTAATATAAAATAATCCTAGATGCTATTATAAGTAAGGAATTTTGTCAGACTATTAACTAAAAAGGGTAGCGATACCTCTTTAAAAATCAGCCACACTATAGAGGACACCAAAAGTAGAGGGGACACAAAGATTGGGTAACAGGTGCCATAGTTACATAGAATGGGGAGGCTCCATGGGCACAGGAGGGTAGACACAGCTTACAATAACCAACTGCATTTCAAAAAGGATTAGAAGATAGGAGTTCAAAAAGCTTCTCAACAGAAAGAAATGATAAATGTTTAAGGAGAGGGAAAAGTTAATTACCCTGATTTGATCTTTTTTTTTTTTTTTTTTCAGTACCAGGGATTGAACTTGGGACCTTGCACTTGCTAGGCAGGCACTTAAGTTGCTGAGCTATATCCTTGGTCCTCTTGATTTGATCTTTACATATTATATATATATATATATATATATATATATATATATATATCACACTGTACCCATAAAGATGTACAACTATGTGTCAATTAAGAAAAAGAAAAAAAAACTACAAAAATATAGTAGATGATCAAAAAGCATTTGTACATTCTGTGTAAAAGATAATTTTGTTCATATATATATCACATAAAATCCTTCTTTAATAGAAGTGATCAAGGGGCTGGGGAGATGACTCAGTAGAATAAGTGCTTCCCTAGCAAGCACAAGGGTCTGAGTTCAATCTCTGGTTCCACAAAAAAAAAAAAAAAAAGAAAAAAAGAACTGATCAATATTAACAAAATCTTCCCAAGAGCACATCAAAAAAACAGTAATTGTAATATACTAAAAGGAATAAAAACTACCTAAAACAAACATAAACTAGATGAATCTATGTATTTTATAGAATTTAATTTTTCCACAGGCTATTTTAAGACAGACAGACAGACCGAGCGAGCGAGCGAGCGAGCGAGAGAGAGAGAGAGAGAGAGAGAGACAGGCAGACAGAGACAGAGAGACAGAGACAGACAGAAAGACAGACAGACAGAATGAGTGTGTGCCGTGTGGGAGACAGGGTCTCATTCATAATTTAGGCTGTCCTTGAACTCACTATGTAGCCCAGGCTGGCCTCAAACTTGCTATGGATCTGGTGTCTCAGCCCCAAGTGCTGGGACCAAGTGTGCCACCATGCCTGGCTTAAGTATATACAGATATAAAACATACATATATCTGTATATATTTTTAAGAGTAGGCAGTATTTACTGACAGAATGAAAGCTCTAAGAGGGACAGAAGTGGGTCCCAAGTAGGTGGCCTCTTAACAGTATATTGTATTTATTTTGGTATTGGGAATTGAACTCAGGACCCTGCACTTGCCAGGCAGGCACTTGTGCTGCTGAGCTATGTCCCCAGCCCTTAACAATATATTTTAAAAACACATGTACTATACAATATTTGACAAATTACAAAGTATTTTTTTAATTATAAGATATTTTATATAGAGATTTCATCTGTATTGGTGTCAGTTTGTTTCATGTGGTTAACATGAATTGAGGGGGGAAAAAAACCTTTACCTGAACAAGGGTTGCATCATTACACGCTTTCCTAGCATCCTGAAAGAAAGAAATAGGATTATTACATGTGGAAACCTCCAGATATGATTAAAATGATTAATTCTATGGAAAATATGGATTTGCAAATAAACTTTAGGGTACATCATTATTTCTAAAGATCTGTTTCTTGAAACATGGTTCTACTGTGTAGTTCCGACTGGCCTTGATCCACTATGCATCCAGCTAGCTTTAAAGTTGCTGTCTGTGTATCTGTACACACACAATAGTTAGGATAGATATACAGCTACTTTCTCTTAATTCAGTGAGAAGTAAGATTTGTACTAATAATGTTTGGACAGGATATAATGTCTGCATCTTGTACTATGAATAACTACTACAAAGACAATATGCAATGTATTAATTACTGTAACTGTCTTACTATCCTGTTTTGAAACTGTCTCATTACTATTTGTTTCTCAATAAAATTAATAAAAAAATAAATAAAGTTGCTGGGATCCTCCTGCCTCCATCTCCCAAAGGCTAGAATTATAGTCATGTGCTATCATGCCTGTCTCTAAAATTGTTTTGAAATAAAATTCACATAAAACCAAATACTTTAATGATTTTAAGGTATGTAAGCCAGTGATTCTTAACATATTCACAATTCTGTACAATGACCACCACCAGTTCCAAAACACTCCTGCCATCCTGACTCCCTTTCCCATCATTCCAAAGCAATCACTAAGCTTGTTGCCCTTTCTCCGTAGATTTGCCTACTCTTGGCCATTTCATTAAATGGCATCATTCCATATGCAGCCTGTGTATCTGGCCTGCTGTATTAACAGTATTATGTTCAAGGCTCAGCCACATTAAGTTTTAATTAGCACACTGTTACACTCACGACTGAAGAGAACTTCATAATATGCATATGTCATTCTTTGTTTATCTGTCAACCAAAAGTGGCGGGCACCAGTTTCCATTTTTTAGCTATTACAAATAATGACGGTATGAACATTCTTATTTAAGCTTTCTTATTTAAGTACTATATTTTATTTTTTATGTATTTAGTACAGGGTCTACAGGGTCTCACTACACAGATTGGACTCGTGATCCTCCTGTCTGTAGCCGCCCAAGTGCTGGGATTGCAGGTGCGCACCACCACGCCCAGTCTCAGTCACCGTCTCAGTGTGCCCCAGGGGCAGGGCTGGCACGGCACATCGGGGATTGAACCCTGCATCTGCCTAAGCAGGCACTTTAATCCGCGGAGCTATCTGGCCGGCCCTTTTATTTTTAATTCACTGGGGATTGCCAAAGAGTGGGATTACTAAAGAGGGTAGCACAATTACTCTGTCAAAGTCTACAGCAGCTGCAACCATTTCCCATTCCCGACAACGATGGATTAGGGATCCAGTTTCTCAGTTTCTTTATCAGCAACGTTTATCGTCCATTTAAAAAAATTATAGTCATCTGAGCAGGTGTAAAATGGTTATTTCATTGTGGTTTCAATTCTTCTTTCACTAATGATTAATGGGGCTAAGCATCTTTACATGTTTTCACTGCTACACAGATATTATGTGTCTTATAGATATTACATATAATCTATTTGGGAGAATTGTCTATTCAAAGTCTTGTCAATATTTAAATTGAGTTGTCTTTTTAATGTGCAGTTGTAGGACTGTTTGTATATTTTTACAGCTTTTTCTTTTTTTTTTTTTGGTGGAACCAGGGATTGAACTCAGGTCCTTGCGCTTGCCAGGGAAGCGCTTATTCCACTGAGCCATCTCCCCGGCCCCATTTGTGTATTTTTGATACTAGAACCTTATAACATTTTCTCCTATTCTGTCACCTGCCTTTTTCTCCTGATAGTATCCTCTGACACATAGTTTTTTTTTTCTTTTCAAAGTTTTATTGATAAACATATAGCAATGAGACAGTTTCAAATCAAATCGAAAGTACAGTTTCAACAAATGATACACTGCATATATTCTTCTTTGTGGTTAATTGCTGTACAAGATGCAGACTTGTGATCCTACTTACAAACACCATTAGAACAAATCATTCTATTCATTAAGAGAATGCAACTATATACCTATCCCAACCACTTTGAATACACAGATACAAAATGGACATTCATAGTTATATCCCAATTTTTTTAAGTTCCGTTGTTGTATATTATAGGTGTGTAAACTCAGCAAAATATTCTAAAAGAGTCCAGTAGCCCATAATAGCATTGGGTCTTCTGTTTAACTGGCAATGTCAGAAATTATTGACCTGAGTCCCCCACAGCTCAACATAACAACATGGCTTTACTTACTATATTTCGTCTTCATACTTTTCTACTGGATGGTTAAAACCAAGGTAAAGCAGGACCTATGCAACAAGAGTTGTAGCTTTTTGGTCTGAGAAGGTCAGTGAAATGCCCTCAGGATTTATCCTGAGATCCTGTACCTCAGGTTGTAGAACCTTTGTCAGTGTCAGCCATGTGGATGAGTCACGGCCATTGCTTGGCCAGTGTGCTCTCTGTGAAAGCCTGAGAGAGTGTCTTCTCCCCATGTGACTCTCCTTAGGCCCACTCTATGTCATCGATCACTTTCCTCTTTGGCCCCATAATCTTCTTGATCAGAAAATTTGGGACACTACCTAGGTACATGACGTTACGGTACAACTTCTCATATGTCCTTGTCTTAATTGACCTTAGAAGGCTAGGGCCAAAATGTTGGCTTTCCTTGTAGCCCTCCTTTTTCTCTAATTTTGGTCTGCAAACTTAGGTTATTAACCATCCAGAAGACAAGCTTATTGTTATTATCAAACGATTTAGGCTATCAAGCTTTACCTCACTATCTCACTGCATTTCAAACTGACACATAGTTTTTATTAAAAATATTTTTTTTGGAAATAAGGTGTTGCCATGTTGGCCTCAGCCTCTTTAGTAGTTGGGACTTATACGAATAATACAGTTTTCATTTTTGCTTTTTAAAAAGGTTTCTAATTTATTTATTTGATACAGAGTTTCTCTACCTAGCCTTCCTAGCACTGGGAATACAGGCATGTGTCCCCACACCCAGTTTTGGTGGCTGGCAGAGCATGCCTGGGGTTCCAGGGCCCAACGTGGCATGTGGTACTGGGGATCAAACCTGGGTCCTTGCACTCGCCAGGCAGTAGCTTAGACAACTAAGAATCTCCCCAGCCCTGTTTTTGCTTTTTGAGACAGACTGTCTCCATGCAGTTCAGGCTGGCCTTGAACTTACTTTGTAGTCCAGGCTGGCCTCAAATTCACACCAATCCTCCTGCTGCAGCCTCCCAAGTGCTGGGATTACAGGTGTGCACTACTATGCCAAACAATAAAACAATTTCAAAACTATAAATGAAAATTTTTGAGTTACAGTAAAAATCAGTACCAAAACCAAAAATATTGTATTGGAATACAAGAATTCTTCCAATATCTTAGCAGCAGTTACTTGCAAATTTACATTGTTCTAATAATCAATTTATATGAAAAATTTATCCTCATGAACACTGCTGTTCATTGTAAAAGTGTATATAAAAGAGTTCTAGAGCAGGTGAGATAGCTCAGTAGACAAAGTGCCTGCTTTGGCAAGTGCAGAGACCAGGGTTCGATCCCGGGTTGGCATGCCTTGCCAGCCATGCCCCCCAGGGTGCACTGAGCCAGCAACAGAGTCTGGCCATGGTGGTGCATGCCTATAATCCCAGAACTGGGAAGGCTGCAAACAGGAGGATCACCACGAGTCCTGCATAGTGAGACCCTGTACCAAATACATAAAAATGGGGAAAAAAGAGTTCTATATCCCACTACAACTAAAAATGTAAAATCTGATATTAACATTGGTGTAAAAGAAAATAAAAAGAAAGGTGATACATTTCTTGTCCTAAATCATAGAAGTAACAATTACAAAAGAAAACAAAATTTTAGCTCTGCATGATGTGGCAGAAGCTAAGGGAACCAGCCAGGTGTGCCAGCCACAGTACTTGTGGGGGCTACTGACGTGTTCCTAGTACAGTGTAGCAGTTACTGCATTTTGTACTGATAATCTAAAGAAAAGTGTTGCTTTTGATTTTTTTTAATATTTAAATTTTTGCAATGAAATAAAAATACTTAGATAAGCATCTTAAAAAACCTATATCTGTCTTCTCCATTTGTACTGTTTAAAACAAGTCATTTATTGTATTAGATAGAATACCTTTGATTAAGTCATGTGTTTAACTTAAAGTCGGGTAAAAATACAGTAAGATTATATTTTTAGAAAGGAGAAATAGAATGGGCATCCTTTAAATACGGAGTGACATGACTAAACCAAGAGAAAAGCACACGGCATCCTACACAAAGCCACTTGAAGTCATGGGATATGATTCAGTGAACACCTATACCCATGACACTGAACCTGGGAAATGACCAAGACCTAATTTCCCATGCAAGCACAAGTAACTATGAAGTACAAGGCAGACTATGATCTTTCCTGTCACAGCAGTCTAACGTGTCACACAAGTAATGAATTGTCACTCATTTGTATTAGTATAAATGCTTTGTGCGTTTAATCCTCTGCACAAACCTTTAAAGTGGGCATTGGTATTCTTGCTTCAGGAAAGTTAAGAAATTTGCCTGTGATCACCCAGTAATAAAAGGGAGCCACATGCGATGCACCACGCCACGCTACCTTTCAAAAAAGGAAAGACAATGAATCCAACAGGAGGACTCTCACGAGGCTTTTAAAGGAGGACAAGAGACAACATTCCAAACGGCAAAAGCGGACCACAGGCAATATAATTCCAGGCAAAGAAAACAATCTGATAAAAGCCAACGAAGTAAGTGCAATGCATGGTTCAGGGAATAGCGAAAGGGCACCCACGCTGGGGTGGCCACAGCTCAGGCTGCAGCGGAGGCCATGAGACGTGCCTGGGAGGCAGTGCAGCCGCAGCGACAGAGCACAGGCTCTGGAGTCAAAGCACTCCTGCTCTGACTCCTGCTTACTACTCAGTTTCCTGGAAAGTTATTTAATCTCACTGAATTTGGCTTCCTCAAAGACCAAGTGAAGCAACATTAGCTACTTCACCGGGTTGCTACGAGGATTCAATGGGACGTGCACGTGGCCACCCAATTGGCCAATCATCAGCTGCTCCCTCTCAGCATCTGGAAGATGTGACACAAAACAGAGATGGCAGGGAATTTCTTCTGATGGTGCAGCACAGGCTGAGCAAACCCAGTATGAAAATCCAAAATCGTAGGGGCCAGGGAGATGGCTCAGTAGAATAAGCACCTGCCTTGTAAGCACAAGGGCCTGAGTTCAATCCCTGGTTCCGCAAAAAAAAAAAAAAAAAAAAAATCCAAAATCAGAAAGGCTCCAAATGGAGACATTCTGAGCACTGCCATCTGCCACAGCACAATTCTACACCTGACTTCAGAGGAGGGGTTAAGAGTCAAAATGTTGGTACACTAAAGATATGTAAAATTGGGGCCAGCCAGCCAGCTCAGCAGACTAAAGCGCCTGCTTAGGCAGAGCGCAGGGACAGGGGTTTGATCCTCAGTGCTTTACCAGCCCCGTCCCAGGGGCCCACTGAGACTGCAAATGAGACTGGGCGTGGTGGCATGTGCCTGTAATCCCAGCACTTGGGAGGCTGAAAACAGGAGGATCACTGTAGACCCTGTACTACATACATTAAAAATAAAGAAAGATATGTAAAATTATCCTCAGGCTATAGGCATAAGCAACATAAAAAAATTCATGTCTATCCCTGAGTCCCATTCCCACAATATCTCATTATATGTATGCGAATATTCCAGAACTCAAAAAAAAATTTTTTTTTTTTCTGAAATCTGAAAGTCTTGTGGTCACAAGCATTTCAGATACGGGACGTTCCACTGTAACATCTGATTCAGAGATTAGCTTGCCAGGTCTTCTTGATCATCTCAAGCAAAAGAAATTCCTCCTCTGCTTTGATGACTTTGTTCCGACACGCACAGTATCATGAAATCACTAACTTCCTTGAATTCCTGTCAGCCACACTCATCATGACCTCACTGAACTGACAAAACAACATTTTTCTCGTATTTTTCAGCTGTCCCTTCTTTTCCCTCCTTTTTTTTTGGTCACATCTCTATATAGATGTCATGCTTTACTTTAAAATCCATCAAGCTCTTTTGAAACAGCTAGTGCAAAAGATTTATAATGGGTAGAGCCACAGACACGTTCCAGAGATGCTTCCTGCTTTGTTGCTAAAGTTCTCTGTCCATGTCTGTAAGCTATTTCAGTTTTACTTTTTTGCTCAAAAAGAAGCAGGCAGAGGGCTGCGGAGATAGCTTGGTGCTTTAAGCGCCTGCTGGCAAGCCAAGGACGCTGAGTTTGAGCCCCAGTATTGCATGCCATGCCGGTGCTGGCCCCGCCCCGGGGTGCACTGTGCCAACCCTGAAACCAGAGGCGGGATGCCTGTAATCCTAGCACTGGGGAGGCTGATGCAGGAGGATCAATATGAGTCTGAACTGCCGAGACTCTGCATCGAATAAATAAATGAATAAATAAATATTAAAATAAAAAAAGAAACAGGCAGCTACCAGGCACTCACAGTTCACTCGTTCCTCCACCCTGCTTGCCAACGGGCTGTCCTAAACATCTTTTCATTCTTCACGCTGCCTTCCTTGATATCCCTTGGGCCCAGCAAGGTATAAGCAAGCATCTGAGCCACCATTCCGAAGAAGGGACTGCAGGAGCTGTCCCTCAGCGGGCACACCCTGCTCCTGTGAGAGGCACAGCTGCTGCAGGTGCCTTTTTCCCCAGCCGGCCCCCATAATGCCACGCGACTGCTCTATTACAGTTTCAAGTTCTAAGACTATCTTAATTTTGTTAATGCTAGAGTGTTTGTTTAATTTTTTAAAATATATTTATTGAGGGAAAGAAAGTTCCTGTCTGAAACAGGGACGGGAGGGGGCGTCCTGAGTGGGTGGCCCCTGAGGCTGGAGTATTTGGCTAGGCACGGTAGTGCACGCCTTAATTCCAGCACTCAGCAGGCAGAGGCAGGAGGATTGTGATGTGTTTGACGCCAGCCTGGGCTACAAAGTAGGTTCAAGGCCAGCCTGAGCTATATAGTTAAGACCCTGTCAAAAACAGAAGAAAAAAAAGGAAACACACACACACAACACCACCACCACCTTAATAAATAAAACTAGAGCTTTCCCCCACCAGCTCTTTCAACACAGTTTCACACTGTACTACAAGCTGGCCTTGAATTAATTACGTAGGCCTGGCTGGCCTCAACTTTACAGGAATCCTCCTGCCTCACCCTCCCAAGTGCTGGAATTACAGGCATGCACTACCACGCCTGGCTTGAGTATTTGTTTTGTATCCTCTTTACAGTTCTGAATTGACTTACAAAATTAACGGATACTGGACATCTTAATTCTGCCTCATAATTTTTTTTGCATCATCATAATTTTTAATGCTGCTACAATCTAATGTTTTAGAGATTAATACTGTCCTAGTAAATGGGATATCTGCCTTGTTTTATTATACAAAAAAACTGTGATTCTCTGTGTATGACTAAGGAGAGTATCATGTTTGTCTTATAGCTGGGGTTGCATATATATTATTAACTTCTCAGGAACACAGAAGCCATTTGCATTGGTACTTCTTTTTTTTTTTTTTTTTTTGAACCGGGGATTGAACTCTGGCCACTGCACTTGCCAGGCAAGTGCTTATTCCACTGAGCCAACTCCCCGGCCCCATGCATTGGTACTTCTTGGGAATGACTTTTAAGCATGTTAAAAACAAGCTGATCATTTTGGCTTTATAAATCAGTTGACATATGTAGACTGATAAACCAATTAACGAATTTTATACATTGGTATTACTAAACAAAAGCACTAAAATTTCAAAACGAAAATGTTCTCACCTGGATCTGGTTCCGCAGCTGCTCCGCCTCCTGCCTCAGCTGTTCCAGTTCACTCATCCTTTCAATTCTTTTATTTCAGGAATTAGCAAAGGAAAGCAACTGTTAGAAATGAGAGACAAGGAGAGACTCAGTATTCCATTTGCATCTCAATCTACTTATGAAATACTTACATAACTTTTCTTCTGAAACTCCAATGAAGTAGTCAGTTGTTACTGGAACTTAAGAGTCTGTTAGAAATCCAGATCTAGATTATTCAGAGAAGGGGTTTATTGAGGAACGTGGATAGATGTTGTCAGTAGCAAAACTCAAGTCACGCCAAACCATCGAAAATCGGAATCAGAGGCCACGAATGAGGACCGCACCCCTACGCTCATGAAGAAGCCATCTGAGGAATTCCTCGAAGCCATAGTATTGTGGACGAGCCACGTGTGGTGAGGACAGAAAGTGGCACAACAGCTGTTCACCCAGTGAGCTAAACGCTGCTCCTACAACCAGCCTAAGCAATCAGTGGACTTTGTTTCAAAACAACCTGCATGAACTTGTCCCTTTTTTTCTTTTAAAAGTTTCCCTTGCCCCAACCTTTTCTGAAGTACCTACGGTCTCCCAAAGCACACATATTTACTATTCTAGTGAAAAAAAACTTGTTTTGGAGATTTGGTTTTGTCATTCGCTTTAGGTAGATAGGGAATAGCAGATGGAAAATCTTGAGCATTTAAGACTGGATTATAGGAATTAAAACGCAGGAGTACAGTGAAGCAGTAACTATGTCCATTCATATGTCTGTATATTCACCTCCAACTTTTCACTTCAGCTGAATCCCGTGGCTGCCAATCCCACTTACTTTTAGATTTCTGAGGCTTAGCCTTTTCAAAGTACATTATTCAAACAAGGTGAAAAAGCAAAACTGAATCCTACCCCACCTTCCAGGCCTCCTTATTTTAGGAGATGGCAATTCCATTCTCCAACTAGTAAAACAGAAAAATCTTGGAGTCCTCCTGAGTATTTCTTTCCTGCGCTCTCCATCTAACCCACCGGCAAGTCATGCCAATTATCCCTTTCAAACTTATCCAGGGCCTGACCAGTTCTGACTACCTTCACTCTCCTACCTTGGCCTCCTTCCTACTGCCCCAACCGCTCTCCGTTCAAGCCTAAATACTGCGCAGCTGGCGAGTTGCGATGCTTGTAAAATACAAGTCACTCTTCTGCCTTCCAACCCTCAGAGCAGAGCTGTACTCTTCTCTGCAAAGGCCTGCACTGTCTCTCTACTATGCCCCCACCCTGGCACACTGCACACACATGCACGACCTCCTCCTCGCTCTCTCCCTATCTTCTTTCCTCCAGCTGCTGCAACAATTTCTCGATGGTTCCTGAACACGCAAGGCAAGCTCCAGCGTGGTGCCCCTGTGCTCCTGCCCCCTCGGGCCGGCCTATTCGTGGCCCTGGCACTTGCAGCACTTTTTCTCTTACGTCACTCTCCCACCACCCCTCAGAGCAGCTTCTGCTGACACACACGCATCCCCAACCAGTCTCCCGCTACAGGCTACCTGCCCTGTTTTATTTTTCACTGTAAGATTCAATATTTTTTAGCATGTATTTACTTACAAATTGTGCTCTGCTTCCTCCTGATAAAAATGTAACCTCATTGAGGTAGGTTCTTTGCTTTATTCTTTGTTACATGCACAGAGCTTAAGACGCTTTGATCTCCAGTAAACAAGGTTATTTGAAATAGCTTAAGAAATAAAAGAAAATTAATTCTAAGGAATTAGGATCAATCAGAGAACCAAAAAAGAAAGAATATTACTGTTTTGGGAGCAGATGGGAGACTCTCCTTTCATATCTTTTTCCAATCAAGGTCCAATTAAAAACTAGCAATACAGTTGCTCGTGTCCCGTAAGGCTCTCCCTCCAGAAGGGGTCTTCCATCACCTTCTTACTCCTTTTGCTCTATCGTGCTGATTTAACAGACAGCCTGAGACACTTGTCCTTAGACACAAGTTACTGACACTGCGTTCGTTAACTTCTTTATCCTCCATACTGCCGGTAAAGCACAAGTTACGTCTGTAGGCTAGAACGTTTATCCAGGCTATGGATTTAGCAAGAATCCCAGGTGACGCTACTGTTCACATTCAGTGCATCAGATGAACTTAATGTTATAACAGTATCAGTGGAGCTAATTTTGGTCAGTGTGTTTGGGTGTTCATGTAAAATCTTTCTACTATGATGTTCCCCACTTTCATTCAGCAAATAACCTGTGAAGAGCCTCTGGTTTTCAACTGCATCCTTACCATCAGGAGTTAAATGTACCCAAGTCTTTCTCTTGTGGGGTGCATGCTGCGCCACAGTTCAGATGGGGCCTTATTGCAGGTATGCAGCATGTAAAAGCCACGGGACCACAGAAGCTTCCACCATTTTAAAAAATATATATATTTGGGGCAGCCAAATAGCTCAGTGGATTAAAGTGCCTGCAAGCAGGAACAGGGGCCAGGGATTCAATCCCAGGGCCTGTCATGCTGGCCCTGCCCCTGGGGCATGCTGAGAGGGCAATTGAGACTGGGTGTGGTGGTGTGTGCCTGTAATCCTAGCTCTTGGGAAGCTGTAAACAGGCAGATCACTACAAATCCAATCTAGTAGTGAGACCCTGAATACCCTGTAGACTCTTCCCTAAAATGCAAAAAATAAGAATTAAAAAATGTATTTGGTACAGGGTCTCACTATGCGGCTTGGGTTCGCAGTGATTCTCCTGTTTTCACCATCCCCAGTGCTGGGATTACAGGTGTGCACCACCACACTGACTGCCTCAGCTCACCTGGGGTTGGGGCCGGCACAGCATGTGGTGCCGGGGATCAAAGCCTGGTCCCTGCACTTGCCTAAGCAGGTGCTTTGTCTGCTGAGCTATCTTGCTGGCCTTGCTTCCACCTTATTTTAAAGGAAAATTTCGGTAGCCAGGCAACATGCTGGGAGACCAGGGTCCCTGTATTCCCAGCAGGGCCACATGAAAAGAAAATGGGGGAACAAAGTCACAGTGGAGACTCAATAAAAGGAAGGATGCCAGCCATGTGCAGTGCCCGTGAGGGGAAGCCACAAGCAGCATGTGAAGTCCATCTGAGGGAGGGACCGTGGGGGCTAAAACCAGCCAGCAAGCTGGGGAAGGGTGCTGTAGGAGCCCTTGGGAGCCCACACCACCACACTGGGCGATGGATACCAGACGTGGAGCTTTAGGATTTCATGTTTATCCTGCTAGGTTTTGATCTCTAAGATTTTTCTTATTTCTGCCTTTTGCAGTAAGTGTTTACCCAGTACCTTTCCTACCACTATCCTTTGGAAATAGGTAACTTGCATTTTGATATTAAAAAGGTTCACAGTTGATTTGCTTGAATCTAGGAAAAGACTTGGGCTTGTAATGCTGGAACAGTTAAGTCTCTGGGGTCACTTGGGGATGGAGTGAATTCTTTTGCATTGTGCAATGCTCATACACCCTTGAGGGTCAGGGTTGGAACCACACGCTTTGAGTAAGAGTCTGCCAAGGTCCGTGTGCTAAAGGGCTTGGTACCCGAGGGAGGGGGCCCTTCAAGAGATGGGGCCTTCTGGGAGGCCCTTAGGCTGGAGACAACACAGGCCTGAGTTGTTACTCACTATTCTCTCGGATCTGGTGGAGTCTGGTATCCAAATCACTCAAACATATGGAGAAATTTTTGTACTTTCTTTGATATTTGTTTATTTTATTATTTTTTTAAAATCTTTTGCTGTTTGTTTAGCCCTATTACCTTTATTTAATTTTATAATTTTTTTTATTCTTTAACAAGACCCATCTGGATTTTTTGGCACTGGGGATCGAACTCAGGACCTTGGGCTTCCTAGGCAGGCGCTTATGCTGCTGAGCTACATCTTCAGTCCTTTTTAACAAGATTTTTCCTAACTTCTTCTCTCCCCTTTCTCATCTTTCTTTTTTACTTTTTCAAATTTTACGTTAATTTTCTCTTGCTACTCCTTCTGTTACATTATTACTACTACACTCCATTAATTTTTAGCTATTATTTGACTATAGGCTATTATTGCTGAATTATTTTATACTTTTTTAAAGTGTCTTGCTACACAGTTCAGACTGACCTTAAACTCATTATGTAGCCAAGGCTGGCCTAGAACTTGAGGTGATCCTCCTGCCTCAGTGCCTGTAATCCCTGCACTTGGGAGGCAGAAATCAGGAGGATCACTATGAGCCTGGGCTGTATAGTGAGACCGTGCACAAAAAAAGAAAAAAAACCCACAAAACTATTACTAAGGATGCTACTGCTATTACTAGTCCTTACGGCATGTCAGTTTTGGTTTGTCACTATTATTATTGCTGATTTCTATTGCTAGTGGTGACGTAACTGTTCAGTTGGTTTTTAATTGTTGCTTTTTAATTTTTTTATAATGTATTTGGTACAGGATCTTACTACACAGCTTGGACTCGTAGCCTCCCCAGCACTGGGATTACGGGCATGTACCACCATGCCCAGTCTCGGTGGCTGGCTTGGTGGGTCCAGGAGCGGGGCTGGCATGGCATGTGGTGCCAGGGATCAAATCCTGATCCCTGTGTTTGCCTAAGCAGGCACTCAGTCTGCTGAGCTATCTGGAGGGCTCTTCTAACTGTTGCTTTTGATATTGGTATGTCAGTATAGTATCTGGTTTGTCTTTCTGTTGTCAACACTACTACAGTTTGTTTTCTCTTGTCTGAGAAGTACTGGGCTCAGGCTCCCCAGAATCAGTTTTGACACCAAGAAAACCATCAGATAGTACACTGAATAAGCTGAGGGAGGGTGTAAACACCAATATATAACAAAACCCAAGGACACAGCACAGGAAGACAGATTCCAGAAGTGAGTTTCTCTATCTTCAACCCAAAATGCAAAAGCAACAGAAACAGGAAGAGACCAAGGCAACAATATGCCCTCAAAACCCTTAACTCCCCAAAAGCTGATCTCACAGACACGGAAGGCAAAGAACTCAAAAACCAAATGGTCAAAATGTTTGAAGAGACACAAAAAAGATAAAAGCAAAGACATAAGACATTCAATAAGCTCAAAGAGGATTTAATTAAACAGATAAGGGATTTTTATCAATAAAATGTTCAAACAAGCTTAAGAAACAAACAAATCATTTGAGGTAAGAAAAAAAATGTATGGGCCGGCAAGACAGCTCAGAGGACTAAAGCACTTGCTCAGGCAGACGCCGGGACCAGGGTTCGATCCCTGGCGTGCATTGCTGGCCCTGTCCTGGAGCATGCTGAGAGGGCGACTGAGGCTGGGCGTGGTGACCCACGCCTGTAATCCCAGGGCTTGGGAGGCTGAAAACAGGAGGATCACGATGGGTCTGATCTGTGTAGTGAGCCCTTGTAAGCCCTGTACTAAATACATTAAAAAAAAAAAAAAAGAAGAAAAAGAAGAGCAAAACAATTCAAGATTCGAACAACTACTTCAGAAAAAAAATAATAATAACAAGCATGGCAAGGAAGCCAAGCCAGGCATGGTGGCACATACCTGTACTGGCAGCACCCTGGAGGCTGAGAGGAGGACTGCCATGAGTTCAAGGCCAGCCTAAACCATAGA